TATCTATCTATCTATCTATCTATCTATCTATCTATCTATCTATCTATATACATATATTTTTTCCTTCCAACTACCCTAATACTGACAAACATCTCTTGAGTTACAAATATTATCTTTCCATGCAGAAATGTAAACAGTTCAACCTTAATAAGTCTCTTATGATTTCTCTTTCCTGTTTACCTCTTCATGTTTCACTTGAGTCTTATATTTGAAAGTCAAATTTTCTATTCAGCTCTGGTCTTTTCATCAAGAATGCTTGAAAGTCCTCTATTTCACTGAATGTCCATTTTTTCCCCTGAAGGATTATACTCAATTTTGCTGGGTAGGTGATGCTTGGCTGTTATTCCATCACCTTTGATCTCTGGAATATTACATTCCAAGCTCTCTGGTCACTTAATGAAGAAGCTGCTAAATCTTGTGTCATCCTTTTTGTATTTCCATAATACTTGAATTGCTTCTTTCTGGCTGCTTGCAATATTTTCTCTTTGTCCTGGGAACTCTGGAATTTGGCTACAATATTCCTAGGAGTTTTCCTTTGGGGATCTCTTTCAGTAGGTGAACAGTGCATTTTTCAATTTCCATTTTACCCTCTGATTCTAGAAAATCAGAGCAGTTTTCCTTGAAAATTTCTTGAAAGATGATGTCGAGGCTCTTTTTTTTTATCATGGCTTTCAGATAGTCCAATAAGTTTTAAATTATCTCTCCTGGATCTATTTCCCAGGTCAGTTGTTTTCCCATTGAGACATTTCACATTGTCTTCTCTTTGTTCATTCTTTTGGTTTTGTTTTATGATGTCTTGATTTCTCATAAAGTCATTTGCTCTATTCTAATTTTTAAGGAAGTATTTTCTTCAGTGAGCTTTTAGACTTCCTCTTCCATTTGGCTAATTCTGCTTTTTAAAGCATTCTTCTCCTCATTGGCCTTTTGGAGTTCTTTTACGATTGGGGCTAGGCTATTTTTTAAGGTGTTATTTTCTTCAGTATTTTTTTGGGGGGGTCTACTTTAGCAAGCTGTTAACTTGTTTTTCATGATTTTCTTGAATCACTCTCATTTCTCTTCCCAGTTTTTCCTCTACTTCTCTTATTTGCTTCTCAAAATCCTTTTTGAGCTATTCCATGGAATGGGACTGATTCACATTTTTTCTTGGAGGCTTTGGATGTAGGAGCTTTAACTTTGTTGTCTTCTTCTGGTTGTATATTTTGATCTTCTTTGTCACCAAAGAAAGATTCTATATTCTGACATTTCTTGCACAGTTTGCTCATGTTCTCAGTCAATTATTTGAGTATTAAACTCTTTGTTAAGGTAGGGGTCTACTTGCAGTGTGGAGAATGTACTGTCCCAAGCTTGGGGGTTTTGTGTATCTATTTTAAGAGATACTTCTAGGGACCTGTAAATTTTCATTTCTTCCAAGATGGTATGATCAAGGGTGAGATGTTTACTCCTTTCCTGGCCTGTGCTCTGATCTGTGAGTTACCACAAGTACTATTTTCTGTCTTGGAACTGTGAGGAGGACTCCCTCTGTAGCACCACAACAAGCTCCAGCATGCCAGCGCTTCTCCTCGCCCCAAGATCACCACCCAGAACTGCGACCCAGATCCAAGCATGGGCAAAACAAGAGAATCCTGCCTCAGTGTCAGCAAAAAGATCCCTGCAATCCCCCTCTAGTCAGTCACTCAATTACCCAGCTGTCTGTGGGCCAAGAACTCTGGAAGCAGCTGCCACCCCGGGACTGCAACAGGACTGGGGCTGAGACCAAGCTCATCTCTCACGTAGGTCCAACAGACCTTTTCTACTGACCTTTCAAGTTGTCTTTGACATTTGTGGGTTGATAAGTCTGGAAGCCACCACAGCTCCCCTTGATTCAATCCCCAGAGGACTGCTCTAGGTTTGCTGAGGCTCTATCTTTGCCTGCGTGGCCCATGCTGAACTGTGCTCCTCTCCCAGCCTGGTGCAACGCAACTTTCCAATCAATCATCCAGGTTCTCTTGGATTGGAAATTTGTTTCACTCTGTCTTTCTGTGGGTTCTGGTGCTCTAGAATTTGTTTAGAGCCATTTTTTACAGGGAAGGGGTTTAGGGGAGAGCTCAAGCAAGTCACTGCTTTTACTCTGCCATCTTGGATCTGCCCTCCCCCCCCTTATTTTATTCTTAATCTAATTTTGTATATGCATAATTACATGTGGTTATATACATTCTTATTGCTTCAGTTATTGAAATATCATTATATCTCTGTGAACTCTTCATCAGTTGGGCATTCTAAGACTCATTTTTTTCTTATACAAATAAAGGAATTGGACTAGATGATAAAGAAGTTCTTTTATAGCTCAAGTTTTCTATTCTTTTCAATCTATTTTATTCAACATGCTTTCATGGTAATGGTCATTCAATATTTAATGCAAATTAAATGAGTTGGATGTAGAATTTGTCTGTTAGTTAATCGACACTTAATAAGCATGTACTAAGTGCTTGTAACTGAGTTAAGTGCTGGGAGTAACAAGAGAGATAAAAGACACTGCATTCAAATAAAAGATCAAAAGTACTGTAATTATTAATTTGAAATAATTATAAAATTACATTTCAGTTTGCTAATGAAATTAGAAAATTCTTTACCTTTTCACGATTTATTATAATAGTCACTAGAACTCAAATCTATTATTTACATCTATTATAACGAATAGCTAGAAAATCAGAAATTAAACATGATAGATTTAATTCTCTCCAACTTGTTCTTTAAACATTCGAGGCACATCTGGGCACTCTTGTCCAGTGGGGGGAAAGTATCTAACTTAGAGGTGGCTCATTAGGCAGAAAATAGTAATCAAATTGAAAAGAAAGAAAGAAAGGAAGAAAATAAACAATTTAAACCAGTGTCATGTTCTACTGTGACTAGAGAGTAAAATAATTGATGTGGTTAAGTTTGTACTGTCTCATTATGTGACTTATTATTCCCTTCTAAAGTCTTCATACTATTGTAATTGGTTCAAAATATATCACCCAACTTCTCTTGAAGATACAAGAAAGAGAGAAAAGAAATTCCTTTCGCTAAAAAGGACATTGCATTAGGTTCTTGTGCCTCTATGGAGAAATGCGGCAAATATATTTTCAATGATCACTGATATAGCAAAATTATTCTAATTGTAACCCACAAAGGAGATCTATATGAGGTGATCATGAAGCTTAATTGTCATATGGTACTTTCATCACACCAGTTAAATTGTTACTACATATTGTGTAGTTATTTTGCCTTCCACATTATAATTTGGTTTAACAACATTCTTTAAATACCAATATGGAAGTATGGGTATATTTATTTACTCTTTATGTATTTAATAGTCCAAATTTTTAAAGGTATAATATTTTGGCTTATAAAATAAATACTAAAACTTAAGTAGACTTGCTTCCTCATCATTGCAATGTGAGAGAGGGAGGTAGAAAGAGAGAGAAAGACAAAAATAAATAGAGAAAGACAGAGACTATAGAAGATAGAAATAGTCTATTGAAAGTGACTTAGACTACAGGGAGTAGGGTTGGGAATGCTTATTAACTAATGAGAATGAGAGGAAAGGAAGCCAGCCAGACCAAGTACACATATTCACAACCTTCACATCATCTCTGGGCACCATATAGAGTAGAGCTAATGAACTACTGGAGAAGAGAATGTTAGCTTCTTTTTTTAAAGGAAATCTATAATTATAATTAAACAAATCCAACTGTGGTCATGCTATTATCCTTAACAGTGGCTCCCTACACTATTTCTTCAAACTCAAGTATGTCATTATTGTCTCCTACTAGATAATCATCAGTGCATAATGACTCTGCTAACGGGTCTTTATCTCATTTGTCATCATTTTCCCCCAATTTCTTGGTAATAGACTCATTTCTCCTAATAGCTTTCAAAAACCAGTGGTTTACTGTTAAATATCACTTTAGCTCAAGGTTGATTTTACACATGAATTCCCAAAAGATAATATTAAGACAAACCAGTTAAAAACAATATTTTCAGTGATTATTTCTGAAAAAAAATGTATTTTTTTCTTTTAAAAATGAATTAAAAGTGAACAATGTTGTTACCATGTCAAGAAGCAGTTTGGTTAAATGTGTAGATAGGTAGTGTCTAATACAGGAATATTTTTTCAAATCCAACCTCTGACACTGCCTTTCACCTCCCAGAGCTCTCTGAAATGTTCTAAGACTTTAAGTTTTGGAGAAAATGTCAATTTACTTTAATAGAGAGAGTTTCTTTATCTAGGAGTTCCCTACACCAGTGGTGATAAACTCAAATAGAAATGGATCTCTGAAGGTTGCACATTAACTTAGAAAACCACAAAACAACACTACCTATGTTGTAAGGTATTTTTAATGTATTTAGTTACACATATTCCAATTATATTTTAATCTGGTCCTGGCTGAAGTTTGACAACTTTGTCCCATATTAATGAACTCACAGGTTCAGTCCCTATCTCCTAATAATAAGTTATAAAAATAAATTATCTTATGTATCTGATATAAAGCAAAATTATTCTTATCCTTGGTAGAATATAGTTTAATTGTAACTTTAGAATGTAATGAGGTAAAAGTGTATTATAAAATTTATATTTTCTAAAAAATACTCATGATTTTTGCAGATGTATGCCAAGATTTGCTGGAAGGAACTGTGAGAAAGTAATTGACTACTGCATACTGCTCAGCATCAACTGTCTGAATGAAGGATTGTATTGCAATATAATTGGAGGATTCAGAGTAAGTAATTTAATATAAGAGAAGCTAATTCAACACCTCAAAATATAAAAGCTGCAGCTAGTCACAACTTCCAAAACATTTGTCCATCTAAGTGACTAAAGGAACTTATCTTTGTATGTGCATTATTTATTGAAATCAATAATACAAGGCAGAAAAAGCCCAATAATATGGATTTTTTTGTGCATTTCCCAAAAGAATTATGTTCTGTGTGGCATTAGGTAAGCATAATGGGCAATACTTTTATTGCAAAAGGAAAATATAGCTAATTGTCCTCTGGTATTTTAAACCTACATGGATAAAATTACATTTACTGATGCCCACAACTTTATAAATTAGATTGTGAATTAAGAAAATCAACATCATTTTGGAAAACAAACAAAAATACTTTGAATGTCTCCTGATTATTTTTAGTTTTGGAGGTTGGAACCAAGAGGACAATGTATGCAGTGAATATTAAAATAGAAATGAAAGAATTCTGAAATTCAACTCCAAGCAGATTAATTACAATGACAAATCTTGATATGGGAGAATAGTTGATAAAAATAAGGGACCACAGATGTGCAAAGTTTCATTCCCTGACAAACATAAGTAATTTTTCAGTGAGTTTTCCTTAAATGTTTTTCTTTGATATGTTCAATCTTTAAACATAACAATGAGCACATGGTAAGTGCTTACTATTTGCCAGGTATTCTGCAAGGGATACAAATACAAAAAATGAAGTAAAGTCTACTCTGAAGGAACTTACCTTGTAGTATGTGACGGTTAAGGTGAGGGAAAGGCAGAGAAGAGGTGTATTGTGTAATAATGGGTAATATTGTGTAATAATGTTTAAAAACATTAGGTGTTAAATATACACACACATATGTATTGAAAATGCATTCATGCACAATGTGTATGTTTATAAGCATCCATGTATATACATATTTACACATATGCATGTATGTAAATTCATGTATAAATAGAAACAATCCATACATATATGTATTCGTGTGCACATATGCACACATATACATGTATATAATCACTTTCATATACCATATACTATATCTATATCTATATTTATATATCTATATCTATCTATCCATATATCTATATCTATATCTATATATATATATATATATACATATATATAATCGCTTTCATATACCATTTATATAAGAAAACTGTTGTCATTCCCTAATTCTGGTCATATAATTTTTTCTGACTTTTAGCTATTAGGTGCCCCCAAGGGAAACAAACTCAATAGTGAGACTGCTTGGTTAAAATGATTAACCAATTTCATAACTATAGCCTGATCCTCCTAGTTATTAGTATTCTCTCCTTCCCATGCCCCACTCCCAAATTTACTTTACATAAGTTTTGTAGCTTTTTTTTTTTTTATTAAAAGGCAGGTAGATAGCACAGTGCATAGACAGGAGGACCTGTATTTAGGAAGACTTGAGTTGAACTACTACCTTAGACATTTACTAGTTGTCGTTACCCTAGGCAAGTCATTTCACCTCTATCCACCTCTACATCTTCATCTGTAAAAGAAAGTTAATAGCAGCACCTATCTCCCAAATTTATTGTGAATATAAAATGAGCTAACATTTGTAAAGTCATTTGCAAATGTTGAAGCATTATATAAAAGTTTATGGGTCTTGTTATTATCATTATCATTACTTTAATAATTTGGAGTTGTCTTTATACCTGTCTTATACATAAGTAAATATGGGCAAGTCATTTGCAGAGAAGGACTATTTCATTTTTTTCTTCAAATTACAAATACCTAGTCGAGTTCCTGACACATAAGCAGGAACTTAATCAATACTTGTTGAATTAACAAAACAAAAACAACTTCTTGAAGTTAGTCAGAAATTGTTGTAGAAGAATGAATATTCCACACGTTTATTCTAAAAACTTTCTAAACATACCTACTTCTGCCACTGCCCCATATGTTAATAAAGGTTCTATCTCCTTGAATGTATTCTTTTTGCCTATTAATGATTCATATGGGAGTGAAATCAATGCAAGAATTGCATATTTCATCTATTAGTTTAAATACTGAATCATAGTTAATGCTCAGAGAGGGAAAAGATTATAAAACTCATTTATTGGTTACAGTTTATTTGTTTATTTAATAAGGAAAATAATATGTTGGATCCTTCATTCATTCACTTATCTCTATGCCTTTCTTTTCCCCAAAGGATTTGGGGTAGCTTGTAAAATAAAAGTAAATAATAATGACATAAACATAGTGATAAGGATAAGAACTATGTAAGTAGAAGAAAGAAAGAAATATTATCAAACTTCTAAATTGTGCTAAATCATGTAGGACTGTAGGACTTGATTGAAATAATCAGTTATTTGAAAATATTTATTGAATCTGCATTTATGCTGCAAAATGTAATTTGAATGAAACTTAAACAGACTTGTGGAGATGTAAATATTTTATTAAAAAGGACAGATTTGTATAAATTTGGGAACATCCACCTGAACTATTTTGGAAAAACAGTTTATACAATGACAATAATGTAAAGCAGAGGAGTCAAAAACTCTTCTTCCTTACCTACAACTCCCAAGTGTGGTCAAACTAAAATAAAATGTGATTGGGAAATATTTAACAAAATAACCAAAAGTACAATAAATCATTGATAACCTTAAATTTTAAAACTAAGTCAACATGTAGCCTCTAGGGATTCTTTTATATGGATTAGTAACCCTCATTTCTCTTTGAGTTTGACAACACTGATGTAAAGGAAACCAACTATAAAGGACTTAAAAACTCTGAAAAATGCAAGGACCAATCGTAACTAGCGGTACAGAAGAAGACATGCATTTTTTTTTTTCCAGACACAGCCAGTGTATGAATTTGATTTGCTTACTGATATTTATTTCATAGGAGGGAAGGATTTAATTTCTGGAGGGGCAAAGAAAGGTGGTGATAGTGATGCAAAATACGATGAAAACGTATATCTGAAACAATAAAAATAAAAAAGAGGGGCAAAGCCAAGATGGAAGAATAAGGGAAGCACTCAGTTGAGCTCTCACTTTGTTCATTGTTTGTCCTTCATTCTCAAAGAGGACCATGACATCAGGAAGGTTATGTCAGGACTTGCAAGTGAATCGGCTTTAAGTGAGAGAGGGCTGCACAGTCACCAGCCTCACTCTCTCCCTCAGAAGATCTGGGTCCAGTGGCAATATATAGATCTGGACCACTGGGGATAGCTCCGGATGCAGTGTGAGACCCCTCTCTTTACATTCCCATCTAAACAACTTTACAATAATGCCTTGAATGCAAAGCAAGAATAGCAGAGTCAACAAAATGTCAGAGTGAAACATTTGTTGAGCCCAAGACAATTCAGGAGATCAAAAAAAATTTTTTGACATTGTGGTGGAGGTTGGTCCAGAACCCACATGCGTGCACCAGCAGTGGTAGGACTGGGTGGTGGTAACAGAAGCAGCAGAAACTTCAGGAGCTCTCAAGACAGAGGTGGACCTGAAAACTGGCCCCAAAGAGAAAGAGATTAAAGGGGATTCTGGGATGGCACTGGACAAAGGACGAGTCACTATTTGGCAATTCCATTACCTATACCCACTTCTGAATCATAGTTTAAGGGTGGAGAAGAACACTTTCAGTCAAGAGAGAGTAGGCGTTCTCAAGAGCAGTATCATTTTTGGTATAAAGGGGTCAGGGACCCTGAGGAATGCTATCATTTCAGATCCCAAGGGATCAGGGTCCTGAAGAGCAGTATTGATTGCAATCCCAAGATATTAGGGTAAGGATCATAGTGCAGAGGAGAAGATAAGTGATCATATCTCTCCCCAGATCATACTACCTCAGAAGTACCAAAAGCTTCCAAACCCCTAGAACTAGCTTTGAAAATAACAGCAAGAAAAAGTCTCAAGTTTGAGACAGTGTCACTCCCCATGCTATGTCAGGAACAGAGCCCAAATTTAACATGCAGTTTAAAATCAAGAAATAGGGTGTACAAAGGAGCAACTGACAAAAAATAACCTGACCATAAAAAGCCAATATGATGACAAGGAAGATCAAGACACAAACGAAGAAGAAGACAACAAAGTTAAAACAGCTACAAGCAAAGCCTCAAGGAACAAGTGTGCATTAGATACGAACCCAACAAGAATTCCTAGAAGGACTAAAAAACACTTTTAAAAATCAAGTAAGAGTAGTAAAGGAAAAATTAGGCAAAGAAAGCAAAGAAGAAAATTATGAAAAGAAAATTAAAACCTTGGTAAAAGAGGCACAAAAAATTCCAAAGAAAGTTAACACATTAAAAATAGAATTGACCAAATGGGAAAAAAAAGTTCAGAAATTCACTGATGAAAATTAACTCATTAAAAAGTAAAATTTGCCAAATGCAAAAGATATAAAAAAGCTCACTGAAAATTTTTTTTTAAATAGAATTGGACAAGTGGAAGTTTTTGTTGCTCGTCCTTCATTCTTGAAGAGGATCATGACATCAGGGAGATGATGCCATTACATGCAAGTGAATTGAATTTAAGTGAGAGAGGGCTGTGCAAAGTTGACAGCCTTACTTTCCCCTCTGTAGCCATATGAGTCCAGTGATGAGATATAGATCAGGACAACTGGAGAGGGCCCTGGATGCACTGTGGAATTTAAAAGATTTTACAAAACAGCAAGAAACAATAAAATAAAATGAAAAGAATAAAAAAAAAGTAAGAAAAGCTATAATATCTAATTGGAAAAAAATGGCTTACCTGGATAATATATTTATTAGAGATAAAGTATTAGATTACCTGAAAACCATAATTAAAGTAAGAACATAAGCAACATATTACAAGAAATTATCAAGGCAAACTTCTCTGATATCTTAGATCTAGATGGTAAAATAGAAGTTGGAAGTATCCACCAATTACCACTTGAAACAAATGCCAAAATGAAAACCCCAAGGAATATTATACCTAAATTACAGAGCTCCCAGGTCAAAGAGAAAATATTTCAAGTAGCCAGAAAAGAACCATTCAAATATCATGGA